AAAAACATTCGGTTTGGGAGTACTCACCAAAATATTGTTTTGAGTTTATTCAAAATATAGATATAAAATTCAATATAAAATGGAACATACTTAAACTTGACACCGTATTTGGTCCGGCTCGCTTTCGTTTTTTTTTTAAAAAAAAAATTTATTACTGATTTATTTATTATTATTATTTTTTTTATCTTTATTGATTTAGTTTAAAATAACATAATTTACTTTATTATAAAATTTAATGTAAAGTTTTAATTAAATCAAATTAAGTTTTAAAATTAGATTTTATTTCAAAATAATTGTTTTCCTTCATACGTGTATCCCCTCCCCTTCTTCTCCTCCCTCTTTTTCTCTCTTCTCTTCCCCTTTTTCTTTTTTATCCTTAGTTTTAGGTGTATTTAAGGAGGGCTGCAGTGGGGAGGAAAGACAGACAGAACCCATACAGAGAAGAATCCACTTCCTTCTTTCTCTCTACCATCACCTTCTCTTCCTCTTCACCCAAGCCGGCAACCCCAACGATACACAGACTACACAAGTCCCCGGTGATCACAAGTTCAGACAACCTGCACCACAGTAGTCTGGCGCAAAGTTCAACAATCGACGCACGAATCACCGATCACCTGAATCCGACCTCGAGTGCTCCTTCACGGTTTCAGACCCGCGGGTACACCCAGAATTTCCTCACTGCAGTACGTGGTATAGAAAAATGTTGTTTTAGAAATGATTTGATTTTTTTTATATTTGTTTTAAATAAGCTTGTTTTAAATTTGATATATAATATATATATATATATATATTTTTTTTTTTTAAATAAATTTGTCTAAATATGATTTGATAATTTTTAAAATAAGAAATATGATTTGATTATTTTTAAAATAAATTTGTTTTAAATATGATTTGATTATTTAAATTTTAAAAACATGTAAGAAATATGATTTTGATTATTTTTGAAATAAGAAATATGATTTGATTATTTTTGAAATAAGAAATATGATTTGATTATTTTTAAAATAAATTTGTTTTAAATATGATTTGATTATTTAAATTTTAAAAACAAGTTTGTTTTAAATGTTTTTTTAAGGGAGTTTGTCAGAGGAATTTCAAATCTAAAATAAAATAAATTTATTTTATTATTATTATTTTTTTTTCTTTTCATTTTAGTATTATTATTATTTTTTTTAAATATTTTTTTAAATAAAGATTTGTATGATAAGAATTACTACTAAGTTGTATCATATGGTGTTGGCATAGTGGTAGATTACTTAGGAGTAATTCACATGTCTTTGGTTCGAGTGTTTGCTTGCTTAAATTAATGTTTTTTTATATCATTATTTTACCAAACAACTATTTTAGATAAAATATTTTTTTAATATAAAAAAAACTTTCATTTTTATAAGATTTCAGATGTTAAAACATTTATATAAAATATTAAATGATATATTAGGATGTTGGCACATTGGTAAGAAATTTATATAAGGACTTTCACATCACAAGTTCAAATCTTGATGGCCCCTGTATTAAAATTATTTTTTTTATTTATTAATTTTTCTTTTCTAGGTGCATATTTTATCGTAAAATATGAACCAATAAATTTGGGACATTTAAAATCAAACACAAAAGTATTTTTCTTTTTGGAGCAAAGTATAATAGGATAATTTTTTACAAAATATGGTACCGTTTTCGAACGGGTGTCGTAGGGTGCTAACACTTTCCCTACGCTCAACCGACTCCCGAACCAAAATCTGTTTTTCGTAGACCAAGTTTTTAAAATAGATGACCAATCACACCTCGTAGATGATTGGTGGCGACTCCAAACCCTAATCTCGAAAGAGACCCTTCAGGGGATGATGTCAGCCGCTCCGCGTCGTGATGACGTTGCGACAAAACTTAGTCTAAAAATAACCACAAAGTTTTTTATTTTCCAAACCTCAGGCTCAATTTTTTTTATATATAAAAAAAAACAGAGAATTAAATGTGAGAAACTTAGGAATGAAACTTTATATTTTTCACCAAATATATAGATACGGATTATTAAAAGAGTAAGTAAATTTTGTAGTGACAAATAATAGATAACCATTCTTTAAAAATAAAGAATTACAGTTATAAAAAGACATTAACCACATATTAAGGTACTAAAACAGATTATTAAAAACTTGTTTTTGATAATGTGATCATTTTTCTAGTGGTTTTTCGACCCATCTCATAATGTTCTCCCAATATCTTCCAAAATATACTTTGTAACGTTCTCTTCTGTGAGTAGCTTAAATTTCATAAATAACTATTTAGTCACATTTAAACTACAAATCAAGTCTAAGAATACATCAATTTGACCCTTTAGTTCACAATTAATAAAGTTTTTCACAAGAAACTCTTCGAATCCATTATTTATGACAACGTTGTCATTTTAATTTTTCCGAGATATCATTCCAAAGAATTTTATATTTAGATATGATTGCTAAACTTATGTTTGGAGGTTGAGCCAACCAGAGCACTTTAAGCTAGTTCGAGGGTGAACCCTAGGGTCAATCATACTCCAAACTCGACGAGGTCTCAAGGAGAGCAAGTCGTGCTAAGATCGAGCCCAAAGGTCGACTAGCCTTGAGGCCGAGCACGAGGGCCAACCAAGCGAACTCCAAAGGTACTTATCCCTAGAAATGATCCCTAAACTAGGCCTAATCTTTCAATTATTTTGAAGACCAACTTAAGCTTTGTTTCTTTAATTTCATCTATTTCTTTATAAAATAATAATAATAATAATAACTTCCACCAACTCCTAAGTATAGGTCTCGATACTCACACCCACGTCATATTGTTTCATCATATCCAATAAATGTAAAAAAAAAATGTAATAATAAAAATGAAGAAAACAAAAATCGCTGTCAATTGCACCATCCACTTTGGGGCTGCATCATTGCTTTTAAAATTTAATTAAATCAGACGGACATCTGTATTCCCACGTTTGTTTTGCAGTAATGTAAGAT